TTCTTATAAATGTCTATTCATGTGATGGTTTGTGTGTCATTTGAAAACAAAACGCCATTTTGACAAGAAATTACATTGTTTTGAATGTAAAGTTTCATTTTGCAGGAGAATTGAAGGGTTTTGCTCGTTGTGTGTGTGTTTTTTTTATTTGTGTGCAGAGTTCTGACAATATGAGGGATGTTTTCAGGAAATGTGTGGAAACAATTGAGAAAAAATGTATGTTGCTGTCTCTCCGTCTTCTATTTGCCAGACTGAACCCTGATTCATCTTTCAAAATATATCTCATGGAGGTTTCCATGGAATCCATTTCAAACACTCTGTATAATAGATAATAGATAAGTAGTGATACAGAAAGACAGACTAATGAAATAGTGTATTTACAGTATATACACTCCAGATATATGTGCACTATTACAATATAGTCTACAGTACTGCAAGAGTACCATCTGTAACAACCTAGCCAACAGTAAGAGTAGGCCTATGGGCACAGAACTGTACTGGAAGAGTCGCTGGTTACAGGTTACACTCGCACATACTGATATCGTAGATCTTTAAGTCTTGCAGAGGGTCTGATCACATCATTAGAAACATGTGTGTTCAGCTGTGAGTTGCTGTGTGTAAAAGATGACAGCTGTGTTGAAGTTGTGTTCACATTTTGCTGCCAGTGTTTACAGTTTTGCAACACACATGTGAAATGTGTTTAGTGACTAAGGATATGTTTAAGGTTTTGAAAAACAGAGTGTATGAGTTTTGCAAATCGTGTCTAAGTACCTGAACCGTGTTTAAGGTTTGGCCAAAAGACTGTTTGATGTCTTAGAGAATGGAGTTTAGTGTTTTACCAATTCAGAAAAACTGTGATAAGACCAAAGTTGACATTAGCCTTTCTGTCTGTGTTTTGAAGTTTTCCGTTTTACAATGAAAGTCATCATTCTGGGTTTTAATAGCAGCATTTCATCTTTAAATCTTTACATCAGTGAACACATATACAAAATGTTCAGTCTTTGACGGTTTGCAGATGTTTAACAGTTGGCAAACACAAGCTTTTCTCACAAGAAGAGAGCATTTTTATGGACAGATAAACCTACTGTGCATTCTCCTTATGCTGATAGTGTTAACACGCTCTCCTTTTAGACTGGCGGTGTCAGTAGTGTCGCTCTGCTCTCTCCTCAGAATGCCATGCATTGTGCCACCCGAAATGCTCCCCCTGCCTTCCAGCCACATGCGGGATGTCCAGTGACTGCTCCCTGCATCTGTCTGAGGGCCTGTGTCGAGATAAGAGCAGCGCTCCGGGCCAGCAGCTGAAAGAGGCCGGCGGACACATGCACTTGGAGGGCTGGATGAAACAGCCCAGGTTAGCTGTGGACACAGTGGTGTCTGACTCAGTCTTTGCTCACTTGCATTATTATATATCAAGACCGTCCTACACATCACCTGCCGAAACAGCTGCACATAAATCTGCAGTTCTAATGTGCAGACTTCACATATACCCGTTTTTTAAGTGAGTTAAACCTCCAGCAGTGAGATGGAGATGAATGTGAGACACGATTTAACAAAAACTGACAAATTAGAGCATTATAGTGTCTGATAAATATCAACCCTATATTTTGAATATTAGTAGTAGTAAAAGTACAAATTTCCAAACTTTTTTTTTGCCTTTTTTTCTGTAATTCTCCAGTTCTCAGTTTCACTTTGTGTTACTGTGTATTTGGCTTCTTCTTTATTGTTTTCTTAATGCCATGTTTACAAACAGTGATTTTATCTGAGCATCTGATCTTTTCATCCACATGTGTTACATTTCACAACGGTAGAGATTTACAAACAAGGAGTGTCCGTACAAACAGCTTTAAAAATTAAAAAAGACAACAAGAGTGGATACATCACACAGCATTTTATACATCTGATGTTTCGTACGTACAGTCATGTGAAAAAGAAATGACACCCAAGACGGCAAAGTTATCTCAGGACTCACCTGGTCTTTAGCAGATCTTCTAGTTAAGTAAATACTAAATTAGGGGATTTACATATTGTATACATCATTAACAAAAACGTAATAAATCAAACAATAGTTCAGCCAATATGCAGAAACAGTGTGTGGAAAAACAAAGTCCACCTGTACTCAATTACGAGGGAACGTAGCAGCCAGCTGCTGCTAATCACATATATTGATTAATTGATGGTCAACAAGCGAGAGCAACTCACATGCTCACAGCTGTAAAAGCAGAAGTTTTGGAACATTTGGGTGTGTGTTACAGTGTCAAGGAGGAAAGACATCAGTGATGATCTTAAAGAAGCAATCGTTAGTACCTGCCAATCTGGGAAGGGCCACGAGTTACATACATTTCCATACAATATGGAGTCTGTCATTCTACAGTGAGGGAGCTATATGTGTAACACACGGGGAACACTAAAGCAGTCGCGCCAGAATGTCCTGCTAAAAAGAAAGATTCTTTAAAATACAAGGGGGAGCAAGCGAGTCAGATACCCAGGGCACAGAGATGAAGCAGGACATTCTGATCAGAAACAGTTTATTACTAGACCAGGGAGCACAAATAAAACATCCTTAAAATGTACATAATAAAATGTTGTCAATCTAGTAAAACAATCCTAAAACCCGTAAAACTACCATTTTCTACATTCACTAAAAAACCCCTGCTATAATTATGCCACATGTTCATTATGGGTCCATCAGCAGGCCAGGAATTCCAGCTTTAGAGCAGAGTTCACGCCAGCCCCGTCTTCCGCAGACAAGGAAGAGCCTCCCATCTTCTTGTCCTTCCACTGGCCCATCATATCCCAGCCCAGCTTGCGTTCTGCACCCGAATCCATCATGCGACCACCGCCACAGCTCCCCTTGCGTCGGTGTCCTGTAAAATGACAAACAGGGGCCAGAATAATGGTTCCAGAAGCGGCCGTGGCTCGTGGCCATGGCGACCTTCTCCCAACCCAGCTGCACCCAGTAAACAACAGTAGAGACCCTACTCACAAATGCAGGTAAACCTCTGCCCTGCTGCCAATCACACGCGTTGTCTCCTACTGTTGCCATTCCATGAGGTCAGGACTGGGTCGCTGGGTCGCCGGGTCACGCTGGCCATCTAGCATTAACTTCCCAGTCTGGGGCCTCTCTCCTTCAGTGCTCAGCTAGCCTGCTTTTAAAAGGTCTTTACACAGCTGATAGGCCACCTCTGGACACACCCCTGCCTCAGCAGGTGGTCCCGATCAGCTAATTTGTCCCATGTGTAGCCAGTCCACAGTGGATTAAAAACTATGTCACATAAAACACTAAAAACCATGCAATAGAAACAGAATAAAACCATGCAAATAAAACGACACTCATAAATAAACACTAAAAATCAGAATAAAAACAATATACAGGATAAATACAAATTTCCACTGTGTGACATCTGCACCCATGTCCTCTAACTGATCAGGTGGCCTGATGTTACTGAGAACAACTCCTCATAGGCCCTCACAATAATACTCCGTCTGGTAAAATCCACTCATCTGTCTTCACAGTGGTATTGTTGTCGTCTTGTGTTTTTGCAGGAATGGCAAACGAGGCCAGGGCTGGGAGAGGAAATATGTGGTCCTGGATGGGACTAAAATATCCATCTATGAGATAGAGCCCAGAGAAGGTGACATGTTTAGCTGTCTGGATTTTTAGATAGATGGAAAGTTATTAGAGTGGGCACCAGTGCTTATGAATCTCCTTATGTGTGTTGCTCAGACTCAGTGAAACCACTGGAGGAGTTTGATCTGTGTCTGTCAGATGGGGAGGTGGTGGTTCATGGAGCAGTGGGAGCATCTGAACTACCAAACACTGCCAAGTCAGGTAGATGTGAAGTGTACCAGGCAGCCTTTGCCTTCCCAATGTTGTTCAAAAGTCTGTCAAATATTAATCATTTGAAGTCGTGTCATACTTTATTCTCTCTGTGTGTCAGATGTTCCTTATGTCCTAAAGCTGGAGTCACGGTGTCACACTCCCTGTTGGCCTGGTCAGGCTGTTTACTTCATGGCTCCCAGTTTCCCAGACAAACAGCGCTGGGTGGCTGTGATGGAGTCTGTGGTGGCTGCGGGCCGAGCCTCCCGGGAGAAGGCAGAGGCTGACGCAGTGAGTATCTCCAGAGCAGGCGAACGCAACCCGGGGCAGCTCGCTCTCTGTCTTTAATGTCTCCTGACTCAATTCATATCCGGCCGTGGTCACAGCTGTCGCGTCTGTGGTCGTAAACATGATATTTGACTGTGTTGGTGCTGTTCACCATGAGCAGATTTCCCCTCCGTAGACTATTTAAGACGTAGGTTTCGAGCTTAAAGTTTAACGGGTAGTTTCGCTTACATGCGTCATTAATTGTCCCTTTCTTCTCTCTTCTTTTCTCTTTCTCTCCTCTCTCTTTGTCTCTCTCGCCTGTGTTTGTTGCTTTTTCATCGTGACACATTGTATGTCCGGCATATGGGCGTGTTTTGTCGATTTGCTCTATTCCTACCCATGTGTCACTGCACACATAGGCTGCTGTGTCCAAAAGACAAATGGTTCTGTCTCCACTGGTCCAGGTAAACAGTTAGACACGAGACATTTTGACACACACGAGCACTGCACATCCTACACCAGGCACGCTGTAGTGCATGAGTCTGTCATTTCGTTGGCTGTCACCTGCCCCCCACCCTGCTGTCACTTCACTTGCTGTGACCACTTCTCACTTTCACTATCCTTTGCTGTATCCTGAACAAACTCTCAAATATTCTTCCCTGTCTCCGATGTCCTTTTTTCTAACCACAGTACACAAATATTCGCCAAGATGTCTGATCATCTTTGGGTTGAATCTCTGCAGCTGTCCTGTCCGGAGGAGCAGGGACCGCACTGCCGAGTTTTACCTGTTTGTGTACTTGTCTGCGTTGTTACCTCTGCCCTTTCTGCACACTCCTCTGAGGCTGGGACTCAAGTCACTTGACTTAACCAAGAGACGCAAGTCATATTCTTACTAATCTTTAAAAGAAAAAAGCAACGACAAGATCCAGAGCTGAATGTGGTAATATTAAAATTACATGAAACTAATGTTGTCCAAGTAATTTTTTCTCATCCTCATTAACTTGTAAATTCAGGTTGATATGAGTGAAACGACGAGTGAAACCTCATGTGTCAGTCATGGAGTTCATCTGAAGTCACTTTATGGCTGACTCTGTAAACGGCAATGCTCATTTTTCATAATTTACTCTATTTATAGACCAATCACTGAAATTGTATAAGCACTATGAATGTGATGGACATGAGCTTAGTACATCTGTCATCCATATAAATCAGCACAGATGCTGATTGGGTACACAGGCGAGTGAGGCCTAAAGCTTGCTACTGTACTTCTACCCAATCCCTAAAGGAGTTCAAATTCCTATCAGACTCAATTGCCACCTTTTAATATTAATAGTTTAAGTTGCTATGGCGACTGTCCTAATCTGCTTGACCCGCTCATCTCAGCTTGCAGCTGTATGTATCTGATTCTGTTGTATATGTGTAGAAGATATCAGCAGCGTATGAGCTGGAACACTGACTCAGTAATGAGGAAGCCGGCGGTGATGCTGATTAGTGTTAATGATGACTCTTGTTTAAACGCAGTAGAGCTTGTAGACTTTGATCCTTTCACTCTGATCATTTGTGTAAACATTACGTTTTTGCAATCTGTACTTGACCACTGGCAAAATATTTACTTCATTTATTCATTTCGAATGTAAAATCTTGTTCTCAGCTTCGTAGGAGTCGCTAATGTTTATTAAAAGTATCTTTTATTCCCTTTAATGCTGACAAGTGGTACAAAATTACTTTATTACAAATGAAAGAATCGTTTCGTTGGTACTGTAGAGCCTCTGAATAAAACAGCGTGCTATTAAAGGTCTAACAAGTATAACTTTCTATCCGTGACCTGAAGCTGAAGACCGCTTGTGACTTGGTCCCACGTCTGACACTGTGATTCTGAACCCAGTCCTCCAACCATCCAGCCCCTCCCGTCCTGCTCCTCTGTTCCCTCCTACCCAAGGTCACGTGGAGGTCGTGATCCAGCTGACCCTTCACCCCTCTCTGTTCTTTCAGAAGCTGCTGGGAAACTCTCTGCTGAAGCTGGAGGGAGATGACAGGCTGGACATTAACTGCACCCTTCCGCTCACAGATCAGGTAGGAACATGTTTTATATGCTATAAAATGATATTCATATGTAACTACATATATATTTATTAGAAAATATGTTTACTTCTTAATTGTGCATTTTAAGCAGTAGAAAATGACATGATCTGCAGTTGCAGGTGTATTCAGGAGAAGAACGATGGAGCAGATGCTCGGGGCTCTCTGCCAGGATTTGCCGCATGTTGCTCCAGTTTGAAATGTCACCACGTTCACCTGAATATTTATGGTTTTTTTGTGTTTCGCTGCTGTGCCGCAGATCGTTCTGGTGGGCTCTGAAGAGGGGCTGTATGCGCTGAATGTTATCAAGAACTCCCTGACTCACATTCCTGGCCTGGGGTCAGTCTTTCAGATCTACATCATCAAAGAGCAGGAGAAACTGCTGATGATTGTTGGTGAGAGGCCCAGCTTTGGTATTTTCAGTAGAAAATAAATGTCTGCTGAGCAGCAGGAGTCGACTCTAGATTTTCATTCGCTGAGACAGTCACAGCGTCGGTCGTAAATCAAAAGGTCAATATCTGCTGCCATTACAAATAATTGGCATAACTGATGAAGTGCAATTATTATGCATCATTTAAACTGAAAGGTTGGTCTGCCATACTAATAACTTTGGAGAAACTTGTAAATATCTTGTTACACAAGACAGCAGGGTGGCTTAAAAGTGACTAATGTCTTTATCCTTGAACAAGCTATGTGTAATGTCTGTGTGCTGCAGGGGATGAGCGAGCGCTGTGTCTGGTGGAGATTAAAAGAGTGAAGCAGTCTCTGGCCCAGTCCCACCTGCCTAGCCAGTCTGAACTGGCTCCATACATCTTTGAGACTGTGAAAGGCTGCCATCTGTTTGCTGCAGGAAAGGTAGTTCTTCTGTCTTTGCATGAATGCTGTTTTCATGGTTGAAATGTGACCGTTCGTACGAGCATGTGCATTCTCTTTACAGATAGACAACACGCCTTGTATATGTGCTGCAATGCCAAACAAAATAACCATTCTGCGCTACAATGAAAATCTTAGCAAATACTGCATTCGTAAGGTGAGTATGACACAGTACAGTCTGTTATACTGTTGAAAGTATGTCATGCTTTTTTTCTTTTGACCAAACAAAGGTAACGTTTGGTTTTAAAGTGGATAAATCTTCTACCTTCAAAACATTTTCTACTACTAGATGTGCTTCAAAGTACTGGCTTTCCCTCACCACCTAATTCTTTACCTCACAGGAAATTGAAACTCTGGAGCCCTGCAGCTGCATCCATCTGACCAGTTACAGCATCATCATCGGCACAAACAAGTTCTACGAGATTGAAATGAAGCAATTTGTACTTGAGGGTGCAGTACTTCTTTATGCCTTTAATGCTTCCAGGATCAAATCAGTTACCAGCCAGTCACAGGATGATATTTTACGGTTGTTGGATCACTGTGTGGCTTTTAACCTCAGCTTTTTCCGCTGCAGAATTCTTGGACAAGAACGACGTTTCGTTGGCCCCGGCTGTGTTTGCAGCCTCGTCTCACAGTTTTCCCATCGCCATCATGCAGGTGGCCAGCAGCATGCAGAAGGAGGAATATCTTCTGTGTTTTCACGGTAAATCCATAGGAACTGAGCTCCATGAGCTCATGAGATACGATTAACCAAGTCAGTGCAACAGAAGGGGTTTTTCTTCTAACCTGGCTAGATCGAAACATGTTTCAGGCTCCAACTGTTTTACATTTTCAGCTGGGTGAATGTGTTTTACACATGCATCCTGTTGTGCTAGTAGTACTGCAGTTTCAGAAGCACAAACTGTTAGTGTCCCAGGATTTTTAATGCACTCGTTGCATAGTGGTTACCACTCCGACACTCCAAAGACATGTACTTACTGGGGATAGGTTACTGATTCTAAATGTCTATTCTAGGTATACATCTATAAATAATAAATGCTAATCTGGGTATATAAGCTGAATAACATTTTTGGGGATTAAAGCTATTATATTATAAAAGTGTGCTTAAAATACTGCTGTCTGCACACAGTGTTTTGTCTGTAAGAGTATGATGAAGAGTGCAGCAAATGTTTCTGTGGCAGAGTTTGGAGTGTTCGTGGACTCGTATGGACGAAGAAGCCGCACTGAGGAAATCAAGTGGAGCCGTTTGCCTCTGTCGTTTGGTAACTGCTGTTTCTTTCATCTTAATTCTCGCATTGGATTTAAAAAAAAAAAAAAAACACCATTAACTGTACCAAATCCACTAAATAACTAAATAATTGTGTGTCGTCTGTTGCAGCCTACAGAGAGCCCTACCTGTTTGTCACCTACTTCAACTCCTTGGATGTCATCGAGGTGCAGGGGCACGCTGCTCTGGGGTGAGACACAGTGGCCTCTTTGTGCCACATCTTACACTCGTTGAGTTTACTTCTCAGCTGCATTTCCCTCAATTTGGTCTTTTCTTCCAGTCCTACAGTGCTGGCACACCTAGATATTCCAAATCCACGTTACCTGGGCCCAGCTATTTCCTCTGGGGCAATTTACCTCGCCTCCTCCTACCAGAACAAACTGCGGGTCATCTGCTGTAAGGGAAGTCTGATCAGAGAGTCTGGGGAGCTCCAGAGGACCGGGTCCAGTCGAGGGTCAGTTCACTCTCATGTTTGCTCACTTTAATCCAGTTTAAACAAAGAAAAAAAATATTTCAGTGACAGTCGGAGTGAGTTAAACATTCAAACACAAAACAAATCACCTAAAACCTCCTGAGCGCTTGTATTGTCTGCTAAAAATCACTGGAAGGTTGGCTTTGCTATGCCTGCTACCATCCATGGTGTGTTTTTGTTGTTAACAGTAGTCCCAGTAAGCGGTGTCCACCCACCTACACAGAGCACATCTCTAAGCGTCTGACCTCAGGCCCCGGCAGCCATGACGGCTTGCATCGGGAGCCGAGCACCCCACATCGTTATCGGGAGGGCCGCACAGAGTTCAGAAGAGACAAGTCTCCTGCCCGGCCTCTGGACCGGGAGAAGTCACCGGGCAGGGTGTTGGACAGCCGCAGGGAGAGGTCTCCTGGAAGATTCGGAGACAGCAGTCGACTCCACGCTGGTTCTGTCCGAACCCAGCTCGCACCTGTTAACAAGGTATGCAGGAGTTTCCAGTCGGCCTGTGGATGCGCTAAGGATTATTATGAACAAAATCAAGCAGCCCTTCTGGTAGAAAGGGCATCCAAATATTTAATGAGTGTGTTCTGCCTTGGATTTGATCACAGACAGAAACAGTCCTATTCTTGATATGGCAACACAAAGCTGTTCTGCTGAATGTGGATACATCATTCTGACATGTCTCCCGATGTCTTCTCCCCGGTTATTTCTGTCAATGTGCAGAAAAATACAGTTTATATCTGTAAAGTGTGGAAACTGTTGCGCTTTCACAAAGTCTTCTGAAGAGGCTCAAGCTCCAGCAGCGCTTGTGCTATAAAGAGCAAACTTACTGCTTAGTCAGCATGCTTGAGGTCATCCTGGTGAAGACTGCAAGAAAAAACCTTGCTCTTTATGCTGCAAGTCTGTGAAGGTTCTCAGTCATCCAGGTCATCGTAGTCAAAGGAGCTTGCAAAGAAAAGCGTCTGGACTTCTTTAAGTTACTTGAAAGTCTTTGTGCTGCAGTGTTGCTGCTGGAGTTTCAGACTCTAGATTTTTTTTTTTTTTTACAAACCTCTGTCTCAGCACAGATACATTTGTGCACATAACCACACACACAGTAGGTTATTTTGATTTTAACACAGTGACTCTGCAGACTGGTGTACACATGCGTGTGCTATGAGGAAGGCTAATCGTTATAGGGTCTGTCAATAAAACTGAATTGAAATGAATGAGTGAATTAAATAGGCTGGATATCTTTTTCCATATCTAACAAGTTACTGTCTGCAGATGAAGTGCTGAACTATAGGTGAAATACACAACACAGGCTAAAGGCAAAACAGCTGATGTGTGGGGATGCAGAGAAATACTACATGAATGCGTTTGTGCTTTAAGCGCTGGGTTCAGTAAGACTGGGAGAAAGCCACGTGAATTTAAAAGCTGCGTCACTGCCCAGCATCAGGAAAAGGATC